TCCACAATAAACCAGTGTGTGAATGCATGTTAAAACTAGTCCTGATCAATCCACAACATTAGGTTGCTGCCCTTGATCATATGACAGAGTGCATTATTCCTTTTTCTTTTCCTGGCTGAAGGACCACAGAATTCTCCCACCTTTCTTTGGTTCTATGTAAGGCAAGAAGTTACTCAATATGCACATTTCCTCTTTATCTTTAAGAAGGGTGCATTCATTCTCTATGTGCAAGTATTCATAACTTGTATTTTCCTTTACATTCAAATATTCTTGGATTTGGTTCTTGATTTTAGTGCTTCTTCTATTTGACTTTCCAAATCATGTTGTTCTATGAAGTTGAAGTCTGTTGTTTTGTGCAGGAATGAAATATGACCTGAGGAAAGTTGAAGAAGTATTTTATGATGTAAAAATCAGAGGCTTGGCTGCTAATGGAGACTCAACCGGAGAAAAACAGGCACAAGGACAGTCTTGAATATTATCTGTGCACTGACATTTAAAATAGTATTTTGTCTTTGCTTTTGTGTATGTTCAAGGATGGGGAGTGGCTCTGTTCCAGTTCTAGTTTCTCCTGTAATGCCACAATGCAGGTTCTGCTGATACTGTCAATGAAACAGGAAAGAGTTGAACTCTATGCTATTCCTTTTGCCAATGTGATAATTGTAAATTTCATCCCAAAAAAAAAAGGTTTTTAAATCTCTAGTCAAAATTATAATATTGTGGAAGAAAATAGTTTAGTATTGGACGATATTGTGGCTGGGTGCCAGATAAGAAAATACACGTGCAATGCAAGTGTACAGAGTCTGTCTAATCAAATCATTGCCAGAAGTTAGCCCTCTTTGCAATATAATGTTGTGATCTCCTCCCCGTGGGCTTTTGGTGGTAGGTCCCTAACTTCATGTGCTCTACATCCCTACTTAATCAATGTTTCAATCCAAGAATGGCTTGGGTGTGGTTTCATCTCCGGTGTTTGGTACTTAGGAGCTTGATAAAATTTGGATTTATGTCAGAAAGTTCTACAAGTCAAGGGTACAATATTCTATAACAAAGGTGATTCTGTAGTTGGGTAAATTCAAATTCAAGATCTTTTTTTGTTACTCCAATTACAACCCTTCTTGGTGGGTGCTAGTTGATTTTGAACTTTTGATCTTGCTTGTCTTATGAAAAAACATCGAGTTAAACAAGTTTGTCATTTGACCTTGAAGGTTTTTGCATGTGATTTCAAAGTTTAAGACCATTCATTTTCTCGATGCCTCCAAACCCCGTAAACTCTGAATGCACCTGCATACTATTCAACTGTTCCAAACTTTCTGTTGGGAGTTAAATTTTGAGTTTCTTCAAGTACTACTGGATGTTAATTAGTAGTAATGGTGAACAGTAAGGCGAGAGTTTCTAATTGTCAGACCTCACCATTTAGTCTTCAGTCCAATAATATGGAGGGCATGATTCGAGCAATAGAAATAACCTAATGTAAGGTAAGATCACGTACAATATATCATTGTGGTTAATTTATTTCTTAAATCTCGTGCATAGTAAGAATTTAATGCACCAGACAATTCTTTTTACACGTGGTCATTTTACCATACTGATCCTACTTCAACTTATATAAATAAATTTTAGAAACAATTTTTTTTCCCAAAAAAATCATTATGGAATAGTCTAGAAAATAAATTTTGTTTGGGAATATAAAAACATGGAATTTCGAAGAAACTTCCTTAATGTACAGCCAAAGTTTCCTTGATTAAGACATCACATTTTTGTGATATGTTGTAAGAATATTATGCCTGTAGGTAGCAAGACAGACACCATGCTAATATTAATCATTTCATTATTTTTGTAATTCATGACCAATATTCTTCTTTGATATACTGCTTACAAAAACAAAGATCAAGCTCCCCTTGTCATTCTTTTTTTTTTTGAAATGTAATACCCTCCTATTTTATGTACTTAAGTCTGTCCTTTAGAAATAACTTCTTTACCTCCATGAGCTAGGGGTACAGTTAATTCAGGGTGGCTAATCAGACATTCATCGTCAAAAACTTGTAATTATCTATATAAGAAGATTGTATGAAGTATATAGGTTAAAAATTGTATTTTCATACATATATATTAAATCTTAGATATTCTTAACAAAATTTCTAATTTTGTCACTGCATGTGTACATTTTACCCTTCTCCTATCATACTTATCGAATATTGATATATCGTATCATTATTAATATGTCTAAAACTTAAGTCATGAATCATGATAATTAGATGTATTGAAAAAAAAAGGAAGAAAGAAAGCTAGTAAACTCCATTTTGTTGCGATATTAAGGAATATTATTAGTATTGAAAAAACATTCAAATACAACAAGCTTTTGAAGCCCATCCTTTCTACCTACACTCTTTTTCTCTTTTTTTTTTTTAAGTGATGTTATTAAAAATATTAAAATAAAATAAATTAGACTGTAATGACTGTCAACAAAATTTGTTTTTAATAAAAAACAGAAGCAGGAAGTTGTAGGTACCATGATCCACTAATGAAGTGCTTTTTGCCTTTGGATAAATGCAAAAATATTGCAGCCTTACATTGCCAGAAAAAGTTCCCCAATATTCACACTTACCAAGAAAATAAAGTCCTAAATTTCGCATATACTAAAATTTAGTACATTTTTAAAAATAATATATCATATTATTATAAATTTTATATTTTTTTTACCTTCGATAAAAAATGATTTTCAGTCGTACAAATATTTAAGAACAAACATATACTATAATTCAGAAGTTCCTTTAATTTTTTATCTTTTTTGTCATTATCGTATCAAGTTAAATAGGATCATATAAAATAAAATAGAAATAAATTTCAGAAGTTTTTTTTATCTTTTTTCAATATCGTGTCAAATCAAATGATATTACGAAATAGAAAGAGTATATATATGTGTATTTAAATAAGTGTTAGAAAAAACGTGGTTCCTTTACTACTGTACGGCAGATGGCACTTTGAGTGCATTAATGAGTTGTTATATGCAAAATTAAAGATGAAAGGATAAATACACTAGCATAAAAAAAAGTACATGCTAAATAAAAAATTACCTAGTGTAGAAAATTAAAAGGTCAAATGATGATTATAAAAGATCGGTTCAAATCTTTATCTTTTTAACATGGAATTTGCTAATGTCACCACCACTCACCTAATTATAATGCAGTGCTCTAATTAATTGGATGAATGTTTGATAATCATCCTTCCAATACAATTAACCTTGTTATCGACGTTACAAACAAAAATATTTTTTAGCGATTATAATATTAAATTTTTTATCGATATTAATAAATTGTCATTGGATTAAACATTTCTAAACGCTTTAGAGACATATATAAAGAATATTAATTGCCGCTAAAATTACATTTTTAGTGGCGATTAATTAATTGTCATTAATTATCGCTAAAGATCATTTATTAATGTAGTGCAAATTAGCGATCTGTTAAGTCAATTTAAAGAAACTCTTAACATGTTATAATATGATCAAGTTTTTTCTCTCACCCTACTCCACTCATTCTTTCGGAGAACCAATAATGTATCCACTTATATTCTAGCGTAATTTGAACCTTCAATCTATTGGTTAATGACAGAGGTGTTCAATCATTTCAAGCTATTCAAAACCTTCTGAATACCTGAGGTATGGAATGGAAAATCGGTGGCAAACGAGAGTTTTGAGCTCCTTATAAATCTTGGATAAATTTTTTTGAGAGTGTAAATCAAATTCGAAATCTAATTTTGCATGATCTCAGAACCATGCCTGATTCGACAATGTGAGGCCCCCAAGGAGTTACGCCAATTGAAGGGGGTCGAGGATACCCCAGGTCTAGAACAATCGCGAGGGACGAGAATCTTGTGTTTATTATGAAGATCGATTAATCTTTTTCTCTTCAGCCTAACTTTTGAAATGTGAATGAGCGAGATTCAAGAGCTAATTTGCTAATAAGTTACTTTCTTTCATCAATTAATTTTAATATTACCGACATTTTCTTCTTAGTCAAAATCTTTATTGATCAATCAAAGTGAAATTATAGAGGAACATGACTCAATTCTAGATTTCTAGCCCCCACTTCCCACTCCTCTAATTAAAGTATATAGTATTATTTTTAATTACTTATGAGTTGTGACAAACAATTATATAATTAGTGGGAGATGGGCAATACACTTTCCCCAAGAAACTTATCTCATGATTTCATCTTTTCATATCTTATCAACTTCGTTTTTCCATCTGTAGGGACCAAAATTAATTTTTCAGCACATCACTAATAAAAAATAATTAAAATTAGCCTATCAGAAACAAAGATGAAAAAAAAAATAGAGCAATTTTTTGATAATTTACAAAATGCACAATATTCTTTATTCATCAAAATTGCCTGTTCGTACATTATCGTATCTAGAAGTACATGACTGCGTACTGTTAAAGAACCACCTTGACCTACGGTTAGGGGTGGTTTCGTCAACTTACTAATTATTCTCGAGAAGCAAAAAATAACAATTATTCTCAAATAAAAATAGGATTAAATTGAGTTTACAATTTCTTAATGATATGCTAAAATAACAAATATGACAAGTAAAATAAATCATAAACAAATATAAGGTCAATAATAATACATGAAAATGTTATGTTATAATTACTTTCTTTTTATCTTCTTTTTTTTTCTCTTAAAATACTTTTATCTTTATATCGTTTATAGATATACTATCTTCAAAGGATTGTATATAGTTATGCAGAGAATAATTATTTAGTACAACTAATTAGACAGTACAAATTTATAGTGATAATGTTTATTTATTTTTTCTGATTTTCAAACAAGCATCGCAATATTAATCTATGTGTTATTTTATGCTGGAGTTATTTTTTCCAACCCCTCATAATATCAATCACACATGCTTTGCCACTCTCAGTTACTCAACAGTATGTTGACCTTTTAGTGATCCCAAAAAGATTGGCTCTTGTACATATAAATAATATATATACACACACAAACATATCTCACTTCCATACAAACACCATTCTCTCCTCTTCTTCTATATACTCTCTTTACCAAAAAAAGAAGGATATATTATCAAAATGATGGATGGAAAATTTGTCAAGGCATGCCAAAAGATGGGCACAAAAGTGATAACTTGTGCAACAAATTGTGACAAATGTTGTAAGTGGACAAAATGGCCATTTGTGCAAGAAGATAATAATATCCCTAGAGATGTTCCAAAGGGTCACTTAGTGGTGTATGTAGGAAAATACCAAAAGAGATTTGTAATCAAAATTACTTTGCTCAAGCATCCACTATTCAAAGCATTGTTAGATCAAGCACAAGAAGATTTCTATGATTACAATCATGTTGAGTCAAAATTATGGATCCCTTGTGATGAAAACATATTTGTAAGTGTTATTAGATGTGCCACATCTCCAAAAAATAGACGTATCTCTATATGTTTTTGATGTTTAAATCATATACATACCTTGTGATTAAATTTCATTAATTCATGATGTTCAACTCATAGATAGAATGTTGACATCTATTAAGTCTATATTATATCATATCGTGTGTATTCGTTGCCTAATGTATCTTAAAAGCATTACTTCCTAAGGCAAGAAAAGTAAAGCCGGTAAATTCATTTAGAATCGTGTCAAATTAGATTTTGCGCCTAAGTCACACCTCCAACCGCTAGTTTAAAGGGAGGAGGATTGTTTAAGCCTTATAAGGAGCCCAGAATATCGTCATTCATTTACTAATGTGGGGACATTTCATTCATCACCCGTCGTGTTTGGATCCGAATATTATCTATCAAAGATACATTGTCTGGTCCAGTACGTGCACATTCATGGCCCGGGGGATGTTGTCATCCAGACAACTATTCGATTTCCTAAGGGGCCACATCGAGCAAGGCTATGATACTATATAAAATTAGGTCTTAGGCATAACGCATTATCCAAAAAGTTTAGCTCAAATGAAAAAAGATTGTTCAAGCTTTTATCACAAGGACATTCCATTCATCAAGTCACTTAGTGGCGTATGTGAAATTTTGTGAAGTTATATCAGTCGATATTATCACAATTTAACTTGTATGTGTTAAATCTGTCGGTTGCATCTTATGCAAATTGATGCTTATTTTGTGTTAATTCAAGGCACATGGACGGACGGCTCTGGTCTAAAATCAAATTTTAATATAGCCTTAAATTCTTTCTTGTAAGGCTTAAGCCTTCGTAATTCTTGTGTCATAGGATTACACTAAATATGTTTTTGTTTGCTTTCTAATAATTATTTCTTACCCATCAGCATCTAAGATCTACTATCGCTGGGCAAACCATAAACTTAAGTCAATTTGTGGCAACCAACGGCTATGCTTTTAATTTGGCGCATCACATAAGCAAAATTAAATTCGACACACAACCTTTAACAAAAATTGAGTTGTTGTATGATGAAATTGTTTTACATCTTTCATGTATTTAAAAGATCACATAGATTTATAGGCGTTGGCGTTGGAGAGGCATCTAGCTACTACCTCTTTTCCATGATATAAAAACAAAGGGCAGTAAATGAAACACACTTTCTTATTACGAATGAAAAACTATAGATAGAACCATCGTAATTGCAATTACAATATAATGTTATTCTCAAATGATGGAGAACAAACATAATAAAATCCCTTACAATATATGAGATAGGAATTAGGATATGGAAATACCATTAGCAACAGGCATAACTCAAGCAATCAAAATTACTAAAAAAGAAGCTGAAAATATTACTGATTAACTGGAGTAAGAAAATGGCAAGCCCTCATTCAAAAATCGGGCTTCTCGGGGTATGTGCAACCAGGCCTCTGGATGATGACATTTGATGCATAACATCCTGCTTTTACACAATCTGCAATAGGTTTTTCTTGGACCAATTGTGCAAGGAAACCTCCAACAAATGCATCCCCTACAAAAGTTTTTAAACACAAATTATGTAATTTCACTATAGAACAGGGTGTGTACATGATAAATCATTAATGCATCACAGGACATAATTCAACCGAGTCATGCTAGTTGATTTTACTCTAGCTGAAGAAATATATTACCCAGAAAGTAACAAGAGGCAGTTAGGAAGTGCTATATTTTATAAGAATTGGTAAACACTTCACATTTCCAAAAAAAACTTGTAAAACTTTATAAAAGTAGGTGCAAAAACATCTCTCGTCTTCTTTTTAAAAAAGAAAGTGGCAAAGTAGCTTGGTCAATGAGAAATCTGTAAAATTAGGATTCTGGTTCCTACCCACTGTATCGTTTGGATTTTCTAGATAAAAAACTCAGCTTGTTAAATGTGTTACTGGGTGCAGTTTCATCAGTACAGAGGCAAAGATGACAGAATACAATGGTTCATCTCTTGTATGGGTCACTTGAACGTTTTCCATTATAATAATGAAGTCATAAAACTATCTTGTGACATTGAAGTTACTAAACTTAACCCACTACAATAGTAAAAGTCACAAAACTTATCAACCATAGCTGTCTAATCATCTTGATGGTTAGGTTGGGACGTTATAGTGGGTAAAAGTAGCAACTTTACTGTTACAGTAACAGTGAAAAAGGTTCAGTTACAGCTTGGTAACGTGTATTCAATTGAGTTACTATATTGTCCAAAAACAGTTTTGTGATTTAATTGTTGTAATGAAATTAAGTTCAATGACTACATGAAATTAACCCAAAAGCAAAACTAATATAAACCACATACCAGCACCATTGGTGTCGACAAGTTTCTCTTTTGGCAATAGAATTACAGGGAACTGCTTCACCTTCCCATCCTCAGCCACAACAACTGGATCAGCACCCTGGGTAATGACAGTGATTCTCTTGCGAGTTCCTGATGCCTTTGGCCATTGGGAGATCTTCAAAGCTATTTCTTCAACATTATCAGTCTGGTCATTACAGCATAAGTTAGCTATACAACACAAACCCAAATAACTATGAGAATGTTGCAGTTAGTCATCCATTACCTCCCAGCCATGAACTCTAGAGAAGGTTCTTGCTTCCGTTTCATTACCAAAGACAAAGTCCATATACCTGAAAACAAGAGATGCAAGGCCTAATCAGTATCTTCTACAGTCAAGTAACCTTAAATAGGTGGGAGATTGGTCTTACGGCAGGACTTTCTCTTGCTGATCCTTGAAGAACTCACAGATAAATGGAGCTGAAAGATTCATTGAGAAAACCTGCAGTATTTAGGAAATTATATGATCGCTCATTTTAACACTACATAAAGCGGTCAAACACAAACAATGTCAACAGTCAGACCTTGTTCTTAGCAGCTGCATGTTCAGCAACCAGCTGAATAGATTCTGGAGAAACAGTGAGAAAGAATCCAGCGATGTAATAATACTTGGCCTTCTCCACTATATACAAATAAAATTAGTTTAACATAAAAATTACAGATTTGCGTGGGAATAAAAAAAGGAGTAAGGATTCCTACCCAAAGCCCAGTTCTCTGGCCGTTTCAAATGGTCAACCTTGTAACAGTTTGCAGCTGATAAGTTTGCAACCAGTGACCTGGAAAATTTTGTTTCCAAACAGATTTGTAAGAAGCACTGAAATCTTGAGAAAGATGAGTTTATCATGTTTTAAACTTTTTCTGATTGAAAAATATATTTTCTTCTTCTTCACCCTCCTCATAAGCTAAGAGATTAATTATACGACAAGAAGGAGGTAAAACGAAAGGCAAACTGCTCCAGACTAACCTTTCGCCGTCAAGCACACAGACAGCACAAGTACCAGTTGGACTCTCATCCTCATAGTAGTGAACCTAATTACAACCATGTGTAAAGATCATAGAAATTAAAGTCTCTCTTTACCATGTTCACTCCAAATGATAGCAAGAACAAGGCAAAATGATGAGTTGATAAATCTGAAAGTATTCATACTAACCCCACATCCCCACCTGGGGAAAAAGGAGAAGAGAAAAAAGCAGACAAGGAGAAAAGAGACAAGGAATTTACATTAACACCAGCATCTAGCGCGTTTTTCTTCATCTCCTCCCCAAACTTGTCCTTCCCGATAGAGCCCATGTAACTTGTTGCGCCAGGAATTTGAAGCATCCACTGCAAATGATAATGAAAAGTTAATTCTGCTGGACTAAATAGGCCATGTAAGATAGCAAGAACCAAGGGAAAAACAAAATGACAACACACCTGAGCTACTCTGATTGAATTTTGAGTTGCACCTGCAATTCAGAATTGTAAAGACAATATTTTTAGTGCATCCTGCTTTCTTCAATGCAAAATATCATTCAATACAGATATTGCTAAGCAAGGATCAAGTGATGGCAGTTTACCTCCAGCAATGAAGTCAACAGTATACTTGGATGTCATTTCTTCATACCTAGGATATAAAATTACTTTATCAGCACTTTAAATTAACAAAGCATTTTACTTGTAAAGGCACAGGACCCAACTAATTCTTCAGCACAATAAGTTCTAGTGACTACTCTGTTCATGTTTGTACTCCAAACATACAACTATTCAGCAAGGCAAAGACTTCACCTTTAATATCAGAAAAGTAATAGGCCCGTTTTTAAAAGAAACAATTCATACTGACCAAGAACAAGATTAACTCTAACCAGTAAAATATCTGTACAAGACTAATCTTTTGAATCAGAGTGTATTGTAACCAGACATGCACTTATGAAAGCATTAAGCTTATCCATAGAAGAAATATACTGATTTTCTGGACACTGCATTTGTGATTTCACATGCGAAATTAATTGGTTTTTGACAAGTCATATTCAAAAGTTGGGTTTAAGGGTAATTCAAAGTGAATAATCAAGAAACCATGGAACCTAGTTTCTCACAATAACATGGTGGGATAATACTGTGAGGTGATACTATCTATAACTTCCAAATTGACTAGAAATTGTACTTTGAAATAAAATGAGCACAGATCTATTCAAAATAGGGCTTTTTTTAAGCGGCTTTGTATTATTTTTAGCTTGCATTCTACATGGCGTTAAAAAAATATTCAACGCGGATAAGCACAGAGGCAACCCATTAGTTATTTTACACATGAAATCAGGTAACTGCAAGAAATATTATAATCAATCTTCCATAAATAATTCAGAATAAAATCCTCATTGCCGAATAAACTTGCAAATCATTCTAATCCATAAGTACATTATTAATGACTCTGAAACACGGTATACTCCATCTATCTTACTCACAGTCACTGATTATTCCCCAAAAAAGTTGTCTTTTTTTCCCCTATTAGAAAGGAAGTAGACCTATTCTCTACTGTTTTACACAGCACATAAATAACTAGCACAATCAACAGCAAGCTATGTCTACAATGTTACCCAAATGACGGTCAGGAAAAGAACCAATTCCGCAACTCAGTACCTCTGAACCCCAATCAGCTGAATTATCACTCATATGTACGTGCGAGCATTAATATAAACGATAAATAAACAAATGACAGAGGCAAACTTATCAAAACGAACGAAAAAAACTAATTAGTACAAACACAAAAATACAATCTCTTATCACAAGCTATAAAATGTGGATAAACACATCGAGCTAAAATGGAAAACACAGTGTAACTTACATAGGCAAGTGCTTATCCTCAGCAAGTATAGCATTGTTCATCTTGATGTCATACCTGAGATTTAAAAACATAGCATTCACATAAAAACATGATTTTACATCCAAATCCAGATAAAACTAATGAATTTCGAAAGCTATTATACAACTTCACTCTAAAACTATAAACTAAAAACTAAAAACAATATATAATAGGACAAATACTGAAGATTCAAATTCAAAATGCAACAATAAGTGTAAATAATGTAAATCAACATCGAGCATTCACCAGATCTATGGAATCAAACTGCACAAACTAAACAGTTTAGATTTAGCTAAAAAAAAATCGAAAAAAAGTGATAAAATCGTTACTTGTTTAGGAAATCTTGATCGATAACAGCTGAGATATCGAGCAATGGATTGCCCATACCCAACAGAATTCCTTCATACTCCATTTTTTGATATGATGTTTGGAGTTTGTTTCAGATCTCAAATTAGATGCAAATTCGGCTTTAGGTGTGTGAACTCATTATATAAAGCAGCGGAGTCGGGTGTTGGTGAATTAGTGGGTAAATGATAGTGACACCATTTATTTTATTGTAAAATTTTAATTAATTAGTATGATTATTTTCTAATTGTCTCATTTACTTTGGTTTTCGCTTAATAAAATTGAACAAGTAAATACACGTGACATCAGATAGGATGCAATTTATATATTTATTGTAGATTGGTTTTTTTTTATAATGTTAATTTTTAGAATCTATTTTTAGTAAAGTGATTTATATTCTCATACATATAAGTTTTATTATTATTATTAAATTTTGTATTTGATCAAATATTATCAAAATTGGAATGATAGAGCCGATAGTTTGCAATTATATGATTATTGTTAATATTACTACATAGCTATTTCCTACTTAAAATTATATATAATATATTTTGTATGTTGTACATTAATGAAAATGTTTTATTTTAATTTATTTTTGATATTAATTACTTAATTTTTTTTAAAAAAAAGTTATAATTTAATACTAAACAACAATTAATAAAAATAATAAAAGAAAATAATTATATTAATTATTATTTTCTTATGAATCGTGAACGAAAAAAGTATGAGATTAAAATTTTTAAGTATTAGACTAGTGTACGAGTAAGTTACTCTCATTTCAAAAAAAAATGTTAATAACTGATTATTTTATAATTAGATCAACTTGTAGTAGGAGTAAAGATAATAAATTTGATTAAGTTCGGTCAAATTACACTAAAATAATGAAAAACTGTTAACATGGAGTTTAAATTCATAATTTATTTATCAAGAAAACTTTAAACCTAACCTAGCGTGACATTAGGCTTTTCACATCTCCAAGTTCAAAATTGGGTAGGTTGGTCCACTTCATTTTGGTGGGGTCTTTTCACCAACCATTTTTTTGAAAATAATATATAAAATAGAATATATAAATGTCTATTTTAAATTGATTTCAAATTTATATTTATGTTTTCTACTTTTAGGCTTGTACGAGTAGTTATGTAAGTTGTATAAATTTGAATAAGTTAGTGAACATATGTGTAATACATGATATAATATAAATTAGTTCAATTGCATTATATATAAATTGTCATATATATCTATTTGTTCAGTTTTATATAAATTTAAATGTTTATTTATGCATATTTAAAATTAAACGATTTAAATATCAACTGAATCAAATTAAAAATCATATTCATGTATTTTACCAAAAAAAAAGATCCACTCATATGCTTCCTTTCATACACTGCAAACAAGGCAAAAGTATAAAATCATTTTTTTTTTTGCCAAATTTGACATGAAATATTAGTTAGAAGACATTGACCTTTTTAGTGATCAATTACACATCATGGAAATTGGATGAAGGACATTGGTTGATGAGATATCAAATTAACAAATAAAATCTTTAGTGTGTAATTAAAAAGATAAAAGATGTCACCTCTTTTTAGGAAAAAATAATATATAAACTAAATATCATTCCCCTCCTTTCCTAATAAATTTTCGGGTTTAATATGTATATGGATTCAATAAATATATATGGCGGGCGCCATATTAATATATAATTTATGACTAACACTAATTAATCAATCTAAGGATCCTATCAATATATAGTGAACTCAGGTAATATAATTTGATATAAATATTATATTTTAATAAAAATTTATTCTTCATTACTCGGAGAATTTCGATCTTAATTAGTTATAATAAAGTCATAAAATCTTTATATATTAACCCTTTGCTTTTCATTAAAAAGATTTTGTAATAGATAAAATTGTAATTTAATGATTTCTTCAAATTACTATGTGATTATCTTTAAAAATTAAAATATTTGAAATTAAAGAGTCCTAAAATATTTGATAAAGAAGGAAGTATATTTTGAAATTTTGGGAGTCCTAAATATAAGGTAAAGTATTAGAAAACTTAAAAATTAAAAGGTCCTTAAATATATGACAAAAATTAAAATATATTTTAAACAAATGCATCATAAAAAATAGAAAGTGAAATAAAATCACATAAAAATAAGAATTTTGCCAACATAATGTGGCCTAAAATTTGGCATAAAGAACCCACATTATTATTTATTATATGTTTTGGTATTCCAATAGTTTTGATACCTAATAGCTCAAATACATTATTTTCGATTTATTCAGAATCTTAACTTTTTACGTTATTGTTGCAAGTTAAAATTTTATTTTTGACCTAATATATTTTATTAATCAGTATTGATCCATGTTCATAAATTATCATTCTTTTTTCTCTTTTGCTTTATTAATTATTGTGTTTTTTTAATGGGTTAGTTATCAACAATAACTTTGAATCTAGAATTATAAACTTGAAAAACATTTTAAGTAAAATTCAATCCACTCAATAATTCACTTGTGATTTGTTAAAAGAGAGAAAAAAAAAATTGAGTGGAAAGTATTGACTATACTCCAATTCTATGCTTTATGTTACTCTTTTGAAGTAGTGACATGTCATTTCAATTATATTACTATTATTAAGGAGTGGCGGAATTGAACCATCCTGCAAAATAAAAGTTTAGATAGTAAATGAATCACGATAAAAACTTCTCAGTGTTTTTTTAAAAATTAAAAATCACTTTTTTTTTCCAAAGTTGAAAAAATGATTTTCATCTTGGAGTAACAAAACTTTCTCCCTAGTGGTTGAGAAAGTTATTTATATGACTAAATTACAATAAGAAAAAAAAATACAAAAGGTACAGAACATATAAGCACAAGGTCACTTTTCTTTTATTTTCATAGAATAAAAAAGGACTTGTAATAATATATAGCTACAAACCAATATATTCAAGAGAGTTCATATTTAGTTTTTAACTCCAAAATGGTAAATGTAAAAAATAATTGAAGTAATTGACAAACATTTAACATAATAAAACCTGTTGCTTCACTTCTAACAGACTGGTAGTGGAGCACCATTCCATTCCTTAAGGCATTCTAACAATGAATCAATGATTTGTCCATTGCACATTGCTGTGAACACCTTGTCACATTCTTCACCTGGTGATCTTACTCTTTCTCCTGTCAACAATTCCGTCCCGAGCTCCTCCCTAACAAACTTGTAGAGCGGGTATGATCTGCATTCGTTGATCCTGTTTGCAATCGCGGGGTTTCCACTTTCCAACGCGACTCTGGCACTCTCGACTTCTCTTGGTAAAACAGACTTCAACTCTTCTTCAAAAGCTACAATCTTTTGAAAGATTGAGCTGCTTGCATTCTTCTCATTTTCACCGTTTTGCAAGGCGTGCTCTACGAGGACTTGTCTCAGTTTCTGCATCAGTGGGTAGTTAGCGCTGCAGGGGTCATCAGCATAAGCGAAGAGGTATTCCCTGTCCACAATGCGGAGCAAGTCTTTCTCGCAGAATCTTGATGGATGAAGTTCTCCGTTGGCACCCATTGTCAAGGTCCTCTTAGCTACTTGGCACACCGTGTTCTTGACAGCATTTCTCAAATTCTCTTCCAAATGCCTCAAGTCTATAGCTTGACAAAGTGCCACTAGGTATGTGGATGACATTAGCTTCAAGATATCCACTGCTTCAGCTGTTTTTCTTGCTGAGATTAAGCCCAAGGAGTTCACGTCTTGGTTGTGCTGCTCCGCGCTTTGTACGTGGTTAGTCACTGGATTTGCTAAGAATTGAAGCTCTGAACAGTATGAAGCCATAGCAATCTCAGATCCCTTGAAACCGTAGTCCAAGCTTGGATTCCTTCCTGCAGTCAGATTAGATGGCAACCCATTGTTGTAGTAGTCGTTGACAAGCTCGGAGAATTGTGCAAACATCAATTTCCCTATTGATGCAAGGGCTAATCTAGCATTGTCCATAGAGACACCAATGGGAGTGCCCTGGAAATTGCCACCATGTAAAGCCTTGTTTCTTGAAACATCAATCAAGGGGTTGTCGTTCACTGAATTAATCTCCCTCTCGATCATCTTGGTTGCAGAACGAATAACTTCAATCTGAGGGCCAAGCCACTGTGGTGACGTTCTAAGAGCATAACGATCTTGCTTTGGTTTCTGCAAAGGATCCATTTCGTGGAGCTTCTGAGCTGCCTTCACATAAGCACTCCCATCCAAAATGTGTTCCATGATTGCAGCAGCCTCAATTTGTCCAGGATGATGCTTCAATTTATGCGTCAAATGATCAGTGAACTCGGGCTTTCCATTCATCACCTCAGCAAAAATAGCCGAGAGAACTTCAGAAAATACCGCGAGCACATTAGCATCAAACAACACAATCGAAGCCAAACCAGAACCAACAGCAGTACCATTCACAAGAGCAAGTCCTTCCTTAGGCTGCAGCTCAAAAAATCCACCATTAACTCCAGCAACATGGAACGCTTCCTCAGCATTCAACGTCTCACCATTAGGTCCAACAGCCTTGGAATTAGGCCTGCCAGTGAGCAATCCAGCAATGTAGGACAAAGGAACAAGATCACCGGATGCAGTGATTGTGCCACGAAGAGGCAAACATGGAGTGACATTGTGGTTAATCAACTTAGTGATAGCTTCCAAGATTTCAAATCTGATGCCAGAGTACCCCTGAAGAAGAGTATTAATCCTAACAAGCATGGCTGCCCTTGTGCTTGATTGTGGCAATGTGTGACATGACTCAGTACCATTACCAAAAACTCCAGCATTCAAGAATCTGTCAAACCAATAACATCAAAAATCAGATATGCCCCACAACGACATGTCATATGTGATTGGAATTATTATTATTATTACTTCCTCCGTTTAAAAAAGAATGACCTTATTTTCTTTTTCGTCTGTTTTAAAAAGAATGATCTCTTTCCTTTTTGACAACACTTTAACTTTAACTTTCTACATAGCATATTTAAGACCACGATGCACAGTTGATATAACTTTAATTTAGAACCACGAATCTTTCTTTTTTTAAATTCCATTTTAAATCAATCCAATTCATCCTTTTTTTAAAAGGGAATATTATTTTCATAGTAAAAAGAGAGGAATGGGCCTAATGTCAGAATCATTAAGAAAACGCTTGAAAAATGTGATAAGTCATTATTATACTCATCAAGAATAATGTGATTAGAGCCATTATTACTCCTTTTTTTTTAAAAAAATGACAAACTGACCTTTTTCCCAAAAAGAGAAAAAAATGCTGGAAAATTTTGTCATTTAAGGTAGCACATGGCACAACAGTGACAACACTGAGACTCACCAAAAAAATATAGGAAAAAATGAACTATTTACATGTGCCCAAAAAATTATATTATCTCACACTTTCCCCTTTTTAGATTAAAATAAATCTCATATAAATTTTTCTATGACTACAAAAAATTATTTTTTTAGTCTAACATAATTTTCTTTTCCATTTTGTTGACCGCTAAAAAACACCTACATATTTTCTTACACTACATAAAAGCCCACCTACTAATTTTCTTTAATTTACACTCAATATTTTCTTCTTAAGAATATTCAGGCAGCTACTATTTTCTTAAAAAGACATATACTTTTAGCCAAAAAAAATAGTGAATTATTGATCTTCTCTTCCTACTGTACAGAAACTATAGATTCTTTCTGACAAAGTTTATATAAACAGGATCTCCAAAATAAAGACAGTTTAAATATAAATCCTACCAATCCTAATAGGCTAATTCAACATTAATCACTTTAATTTTAAAACTTATATTCCTAAATATGCATTAAATAGGTTAACACAAAGTAGACATCTCATATATGTTGATGATCTAAAACAAAGCAAGTTAGATAGAAAATGGTTTACCTAATAAGTTCCTTTTGTAAAGCACCACCATTTTTTGTTCTCCTATGAGATGTAGCACCAAAACCAGTAGTAACACCATAGCTATCAGTCCCTTTACTCATACTTTCCATAACCCAATCACTACTAGCTTTAACACCAGCCCTAGCATCCTCACAAAGCTCCACTTTCACATTTTCAACATTAACCTTTGCAGCTACTGAAGCAACTTGTGCAACTGTCAATGTTTCACCACCAAGTTTTACAACTGGCTTCCTAAACTCGGCCACCATCTTTTTCACTTCATCTAAATGGCTACCCCTCAATGACTCCGCTGCCATTTCCCAGTTCAATGGATCCACTTTGATGCAAAAGTCCAAATCTTGCTGACCATTAATGACACCAGCCATTTTTTTTTCAAGAAAGTGTATAAAGATTGGATTTTTATGTGAAAAGATTCAAGAAAATATAAAGGGGTTGTTTTTTTTTGGTGAAAAGACTCAAGAAAATGAAAAGGGGTTGTGAAAAAATTCAAGAAAATGTAAAGGGGTTGTTTGTTTTGGTGAAATGGTCCAAGAAATGTAAAGGGGTTGGTTGGTTTAGTGAAAAAGATTGAAGAAATTTGTATAGAGCAAAAGATTGTTGAAGAGAGAATGATGTAAAATAAATGTGAGGATGGGTAGAAAGATCCTGATTATTGAAGTAGTGAATTGAGGTATAAATAGAGGGGGGCTTGAATGGGTGTAATATATGGTAGGTGAGTTGATAAGGGGTCCATTTAAAATGATTTAATTAAAATGAACCGTTTGATGAATTATGTGAATATTTCTTGGTAGGTGGACATAAGGAATTATATGGACCGTTCGATTAAGAGTGGAATTTATGGTTGAGATATATGGACAGCGTGGGGGAAAGGATGTAACATGACTTTCAAGAAGTTTTTTTGGGGGGGTTGGTGGATTTGGCAAAAGGTTTGGTGCTTTTGGGTTGTTGAGACTCTAATTAAAATTGTGTGGGGAGGAGGGTGGGGTGTCAAGACGAGAAACTTGATGAAATTAAGCTAGCGTTTGATATATATTAGTTATAGAATTATGATGAGGAATTTGATGCAGTTAAGCTAGAGTTCGATCGAGATGAGAAATTTGATGAAATTAAGCTAGTGTTTGATATATATTAGTTATATGGAGTTATGATAAGGAATTTGATACAATCAAGCTAAAGTTTGGTTATATTTTTTAGACTAAATTTGATAAGATTTAATGTTTTTGAATTAAGATATTCGTTAAAATTCGGGAGGGGGGAGGGGGGTTGATGAAACTAAATCAGCATTTGATTATATATTTTAGATTAGATTTAACGAAGTTTCATGCTTTTTGGATTTTTGAGACACTAATTAAAATGGAAGGGGATGAGGGGGCTTGATGAAACCAAGTTCACATTTGATATTAAATTTAATGAGGTTTAGTGCTTTTGGGTTGTTGTGACATTAATTTAAAAAATTTGATGAAATTAAGTTAGTAGTTGATCATAAATTATATATTAGATTTGATGAGGTTTGGTACTTTTGGGTTGTTGAGATCGTAATTAAGATTTTTTTTTCGGAGGGGGACGAGAGATTTGATTTAAAATTATGGGGAGGAAATGAGGGATTTGATGATATAAGTAAGCACTTGATCATATATTTTTTAGATTAGATTTTAGAAATTTATTTTTAAATATCCATTGGGAAAATAAACTTTTTCGTAATGTATGTCTAAATATAATTTTCAATTTCAAAAACTATACACGGAGAAAATGAGAAATTTGATATTATTAAATTAGTCATAGATCATATATTTTAGATTAGATTTTAAAATTTTGTCTTTGAAATATTTTATATTTTGAGAGTCAAATTATGTACGTTTTGAAAATATATATATATATACCCGCTTTAACATCTTTGTATTTTGTTAAAAATAAGAATTAATAGTGAAAAGTGTTGAAAAAAGTGTGTTTCAAATTCTTTTTTATTTCTTTTTAAATGATAGTTTCAAACATTATTACGAGCATATTAAAATGGGATATATCAAGTCATCAACTTTTTGTGTCAAATTCTATGGTTCTAATTCTTAACTTTATTAAATAATTGTCAACGTATTACTTATAGAATTATAATTATGTTAACAATTCATATACTAATTGCCTCAATGAAAGGATGTTTTTCAATGTTTAGTTAATAAAACTTTATCTAAAACTAATACCTGAAAAAAATAATATTAAAATAATAATATTTTTTATTTATCTTAAATAGTGTAAGAAAAATAGATTTTAAATAAATACTATTTGAAGTTTATTTATATTTTAGGTCTTGAATTAAAATTTAATTTTAGGCCTCCAATCACTGCTCACATTTATATCATTTAAATTTAAGCATGGAGGAAAATATGATAGTTTTTGTATTCTTTAATTTTTCTAACTTTAATTATTATCATTTAAGCAAGAACAATATATATGATATTTTTGCCGTATTCTTCAATTATTTTCTAACTTATCTTTCTACATTTACAATTTGCATCATTATCATTTAAGAAGGAAAAACAATAACATCTTGTCGTATTTTTCAACTTATGAAATAATTCATTCAACTTTAATTAAAAAATGAAAACCTTTACGTAACAAAGAAATTGGCATACGTGACACTTTTGTTGACATCTGAAAATAGATATTATGATTAATCTTCTGTCTATCAATAATCACATATCTTTTTATACAATAAATGTGATATAATGAATTAAACTAGTACTAATCCCCCTCCCCCTTAAACTAATTATGTGTTATTATTAGAATACGCACTGTCTAATAAACTTTATTGAGTGAATGTAGTTAGAGCCGAATATCATTCAGTTTAGTTTGATTTTGAAGTTTATTGAATTGGTTTATTGATTATCGGTTCGTAAAGATGCTAAATCGTTTACAGAACATTAACATATTGGCTTATTGATTTTTTATTGTTATCGATTTAGCCGTTAAGATTTGACACAAAAGAAAAAACATTGAAAATCACTTATAAACAAGGTGAAACCAAATAAACCATGCACTTGAGTTCATAAGTTATCTTGTTAAAAAACAAACCTTTTACATTGTAGAATAACCAAATGTTCGAGACAATCAAAAATAAAAGTAGGAAATCAAACTTTAAGTCGAGGACTTTATATACAAAATGGTATAAATATAACTATTTAATTTACTATCGGGTTATCGGTTAAAAAAAAATTCAAAACCGTTAAGAATCGATAATTCAATAACAAAAATAATCATAACCGTTATCAAAACCACTAAACTAATAACTGAGTACCATAAATCAATAACTTTTTTATCGATTTGAGTTTGATTTTGAACAACCCTAAATGCAGTTGCTCTTATTTACCCTTAATAGTTCTAAACAAACTTCTTAAAATACCAATTAGTTTTACTTTACGAAGTCTTGCGGTATATTATATCAAAAAAATCAATGGATTATGGAAGCAACTAAGAGTATCGGATAATAAAAAAATAATAATGACCTAATAATAATATATTCAATATAATGTTATAAATATAATTTAAAAAGGATAAATACATAAATTTTATTACTTTTTAAAGAATGAAAAATTATTTTCCATATTTTCATTTTTATTAATCAAATATATTATGAAAAATTAGTTATTTTTCTCTATACTTCGTCTTTGACATTAAATATTATTCTCCTAATTATTTTTCATGAGTTATACTAGGAGTATATATATATATTTGGTTTGACCAAGCATATATAAGTCAACAGTCTTCGGTCTTCAACATTTGACTTGCATTTCTAATTATTTTATTTTATTTATTTAAGCTTTTTAGATTATTATTTTTCTATAACATCTCCATAATAGCTCCTAACTTTTTTCTTTTACTTAATTAGTTATTCAAATTTAATTTTAATTAATCTAACTTTTACCTATAAAATTTTATTATTATATTGTTATATTCTTTTAAGTAATAATACTTATATAAGTCAATTAGTAGCTTAATACTATACAATCTTTTATTAAATACGGTCAAAGATGAACTAACACGACATAGTTGATTTACTAGAATATAAATAAAATTTTAATAACCTTTAATAAAAATATGACGTGTTTCAATTGTGCTTATTTGACTTGACTTTCTTCGTTTTATTTCATGAGTTACTATTTAACTTAATAATTAATATGACATTTTAAAAAAGAAAATTATGTGTGTCTAAAATGTTTTATTATGAAAAAATAAATAATTTTAATTAAATAAGATAATATGTTTTTTAGTGTAGTGTTTTGAATATGGTAGGAAGATTGTTAGAAACTTGACGGTCTTTGACTTAAAACTGAATTAAGACCAAAAGAAAAGAAGAGAAAAAAAAAAGACAAAAAAGGCAACTTAGGTTGTTAGGGAAATTATATGCAATTCATTATTATTTTATTATGTCATATTGAGTTTAATTTTATTTCTTTTATTAATGATGAAGGATTAGGTGTAGGACTCGAATTAGGTGGTTTCCGAATGAGTTTATTAATTTTTAATAGAATATGTATGTGTTAGAGAATTGAGCAAATATGTGTATATATATTAATCGTGAATTGTCTAAGTAAATCAATTGATAATTCATTGGTAAAAATTTAAGGAATGAATGATAAAAGTATTTTTTTAAAAGAAATTTGCTATATACGTGGCTTTTCGATTCAATACAATTGGTGAATATCTCTTGTAAAAGATGTACTAGTTTTTTTTTACTAGTAGTTTTTATTATTTAATTTTTAAAGTTTAAATAAGATTAAAATTGAAAGAATATTGATAAATATGAAACCCAACTTATTATAAATTGACTTAGTTTAAATATTTTCAAGTTAAATTACTTTTTAAGTACTTTTATATTGTTAAAATAAAAATTGTAAAAAAATATTTTGTAGCACTTCCAATCCCAAAAAATTAAGATTAATTGAAAATCATAATTGAACTTTTTAGTTTATACTATAAAAAGTATAAATTTATCCAAATAGACTCTAAAACATGACTTACTTCGAAAGGACAAAAGTATCAAAATTGCAACTTCATTAAAGTTTCCTAAATTTGACTCTTATAAAGGCGTTTTGCAATAGATTTTAGGATAAAGTATAAGTATTTCTTTTGATTAGGATTAAAATTTTAAAGATATATTTTAATAAATTAAAATTTTTATTTTTTTTGAATTTATTTATTTGTAGTTTTATATAGCTTTTGCACTTCGTGATCCTCCACAGTTAAAGCGTGTGAGAGATATTTAGATGTTACATAAGTAAAAAATATGTATAAAATCACACAAAAAATAAATTTATTGTATCTATGAGATTTTGGACATAACCTAGGGATACTCGTAACCTTTAAATGAAATAAAAAATTAATTTAAAATACTAATAATTTTTACGATAATTATTAAGATGATAACTTTCGAGCACTTGTATGTCGAGCTAGGAGATAAGAGTCAGGATGAAAAATTGTATAAGTTTACGACAAACAAGAAAGAGAAACGCCTAGATTTAAATCAAGTGAAGTATAATAAGGATGAGAAAGACAAATATTGATGGAAGAAACTTCCATTAAGGACTTCTTATTAGTTCTTACATATATAATATGACACAATTCTTAATGTTAAACATGGTAAAGTTAATTCAATAATAATTCAAG